TACCTGCACCGTCTCATTGAAAGACAAAAGGCAAGCAAGAAATATCCTTAGCCCACTTATTTTGAAATAGAAAAAATGTATTTACTGTATGTTCTACTACATTTTTGTATGCTTATACAGAATGCTGTGTGTTGGTTATTTTATATTTTCCAGTTTTTTCTTTAACAGGTCCATGTACTGACTAGCCATTAATAACTGAGATATAAAATTATACATTTGACACCCCTGCTCTAGGTTAGATTAGTTTGTAGACACATAATATCTCTTCAGAAACAAGGTTGTCAGTGGAGGATGAAAACTTTAAAGTCTTTAGCCCATTTTTTTTTTCTATCGCTCAGGTGCTATAAGGTATCTTTGACATTTTAATGTGAATTGTGAACTCATCCTTCTTTCCTTGGCAGCTTTACAACAGATTATGAACTGTCAGTCTTGTTTTGTAATTGAAAAGCTTATCAGCCAGCTCATGAGGTGCTGTGTGCCTATAGGTTGGCTGTTTTGTATGTCATACAACTGTAGTCCATAGTTCAATGTCACTTGTTCAAGAGAACATGTCTGCTCTTTATGGTAAACACCACTGCTGTGTGATGGAATACTGAGTATTGTAAAGCTGGGTTTTTCTAAGCCAGTTTCGTCTTTGTCAGATGGTGTGTACTCTACAGTTTGGACATTGAATGAGGTGTCCTTCCCTTTTAGGAGCTAAACCACCTAACAATGTACGTGTAATGATCTCATCGTCTTTCCACTTGTACAACCCTCAGTCAAATAAACAGTAAAACGGAACTAATCTGGATTAACGCCTGTGTTTACAGATGACTTTGAGAGTTAGACAGAGGTGGAAATGCCAGAGAGAACTGGATTAACTCCTTGGCTGCAATTCTGACAGTGATGGTGAACAAAGGGCATTGAAAATGATGATGACTGTGCACCTGTTTAACGGGCAAAGTAAGCAAAGTCCTCTTGGGGAGTATTTAAAAGACGAAATACAAACATCTCAAAGAATTGCAAAGACAATGGTATGGTTTATAAAGGCCAGACTTACACTGTCAATATTAATACTCTGATTTGTGACGCGCCATCTGAAATGTTTTAAAGGTCATACTGTCACAGTCCTGGGTCATTTTGACCCAGCATTTTCAGTTCTTTTATTCCTTTGTATTATAGTTTGTATTCTGATCCTTTTGTCATGCCTTGTTTATTAGTATTCTATGTTTCAGTTATTCTTTGTGAGGGATTAGTTCTTAAGTTGTGTCTCTCGTTTAGTGTAAGTTCAGTTCAGTGTCAAGTCTGTGTCTGTTTCTTGTTTCCCGTTTTATTGTGAAAGGTTGTGCCTCATCTCAGTGTGTCTCGTTAGCCCAAACCCTCCCAGCTGTGTCTCCCTCCTGTTTTCCATTCCCTGATTACTCCCCTGTGTATATAAGCCCTGTGTTTTCCTGTGTTCCCTGTTGCGTCGTACCAGAACACACACTAGCTGCGAGTGTTGCGAGTTTTGCGTCTCCTGCGTCTCCAGCTCCAGTTTAGTATTTCTTTTCCAGTGTTTCAGTCCTCGGTTCCTCTGTTCAGTTTGTTTGGCTTTTGGTGAGTTTAGTTAGTACGAGGTTTTTCCCAGCAATAAAGCTGTGCTTTAAGTTTTACTTCCGTGTCTGAGTTCTGCATTTTGGGTCCACCACTCCTGCTTGCTCGCCTGCCACACAGCCAACCATGACACATACTCCATATAAGAGTTGTGAAAGATAATCAATCAGAGGTGATCGTGTTGATGGAAGAATAGTTTTAAGGGAACAGGGATGCACTTCTCAAACAGATGAAGGTTTTTCATAGTGGAGTACAGTAACCAAGAAACTGGTATCAGCCCCTGGAATTCTTTGTGTTAGCTCATTTGTCTTAGATTATATGCACATAATAACCACAGGCTCTGTGGTCGGCATTAAGCTGGACACTCTGGTGACAGTGGCAGAGAAAAGGACATTAAAGAAACTGCTGGACATTATGGACAATGCTGGGCATCCTCTGCACACAGTCATAAACAATCAGACGAGCCTATTAAGCGACAGGTCGCTTCTCCCAAAGTCAAAAACCAACAGACTTAAAAATTCCTTTGTCCCACACGCCATCAGGCTGTTTAACTCCTCACTGGAGGGGACAGGGAGGGGAAAACGGGTCAAGGGAGGGCGTGAACAACTGAGCTGTAGTGCTTATTTACACTCAATATTTGTTTCTTATATTCAATTGTGCAATAATCACTGTGCAATATACTCACTCAAATGTTCAATTCTATTTATCCATATTATATGTTCTGTATTTATATATGTGTATATATGGTATATTTATGCTTCATTCCCCTTATTGTATCTGTAACATGCAACTTCTTTCGGTGCTTTGCTACTGGAAACTGAATTTCTCGGAGGAACCCACCCGAGGGATTAATAAAGTTTCATCTTGGGAATAGTTAGGCACCTGTTTATTTACTTAACTCGTGGCCCAAAAGTCGTTGTTGTTTATCTATGAGGCAAAAAAATTTAATTTCTCATTAAGTAATTGCAGGAAGAGGGAAGATGCCAAATGAATTTGCTCAACAAATGAGGGTTTTACACGATATAGGTGGAAAGCCACTGAACTATGTCGTTTTTTGCTATACACAGGTCCTGTGGTATTGAAAACTGTTGTCCCCTAAAAGATGCAAACATTTCTTGTCCTTGACTGTATCCATGTCGATAATGCTAGAGTCAGATGAGTGGATTTGAAATGCTTATCATCAAACTTTTTGTTATGTGCTGTGGTGACCTGACAAGACCTTTCCTATAAACAGTGTACATGGAGTAATTCATCTCCATGAGGATGCCAGCCACTTGAACTGTTCCTTAAATGGCATTTCCTGTTTCCTATTTGAAAACTACCTGCAACAAATCAATAAACATGTGAGGAGTGTGAGAAACCCCCTGAAACAAGTAACCAGGTGTTTGTCTGAAACTGAACATTCAGAAGTGGACGATACCCAAATACACCCGAAAGTGCTTGATTCTGTTAAAGAAAGGGACAGTTGTTTTCTTTTGAGCAAAACAGCTTTTGTTTTGCTCAACAGAAAAATGCAGACGGGCCTTTTGCTTGTCAAATTCTGTGCAAGCGTCACACTTCACCATTATTTCACCAACCATGTGGTTCTGCACATTTGAATAGAGTGTGCATAGGAAATGGTCATGTCAGGATGAAAAACTACTGTCAGGATGCACTACTGCTAGACAGGGATCTGTTCCGTAGGGTGGCCTGCCTCCCACAAGAAGCTGGTGGTTTTGTCCTCCAGGGATCATCAACTGATCGTCTTTTCCATCTGTCTGTTTTCTGTATCTTTCATTGTGACTCCTGCATGTCCTTTCTCACTACATCCATAAACCTCCCAGGGCCTCTGTGTCTTTCCTCTTGCCACAATATCCTACCCCCAGTCTAACCCTCATCGCTCTTCTCTGCATGTCCAGACTCTCTCAACCTCTCCCCTTTTACTCGATCCATTAGCTAAACCTGTACTGCCTCTCTAATGTAGTTATTAGCCACTCAAGTCGCTTATTTATGTCTGTCACCTCCACCTCCGCATTGTCTCTTTTAACATGACAAACTGTGAGTTGTTGATTAGGGTTTGTGTCATTTTCTCTGCAATTGAACTATTTGCTTTGTATACGTCTGCTACATTGGTACTCAAAATGGGCTCCCTGTGCTATTGTAATGTATTCGGTTCTAAATTGGATGCTAACAGGTTTGTAACTGACAATGTAAAAATGGAAGGCATCGAAGGCGTTTGGAAAGGGAGGGGGATGAGTGTGTATCAGTGTATGTGGGTGTGTAGAGAGTGTCCTTCGCCCAGCCAGGCTAAGTAAACAGTCTTCCAGCCTACCCAGGTGACATGCGTGTATCCGTGTGTGTGTTTATCCCGTGTTCAGCTGAGAGAAAGCGTCGCCACACCCAGTTAAGCAAAGGTTCACAGTCTTCAGTGGACCCAGGAGGCCTTGAAGGAGGGACAAAGATTTCTGACAACAGTCCTGTTTTCATAGGAGAATTTTTGTTGTTCCAGTCAGCTTCGACCTTGGCAGGCCTTTAGCTGACGCCAGTGGGATAGCCGCATTAGTAATCATGGTAGTTGTTTTGGTTAGTGCGAACAAACTGCATCCAGTTTTACAGTTTTGTCTAATGTCCGTCACTGGTCACCAGGTGTCAATTCCCGTTCTTCTTCTCCAAGATCTTATCCATATTGCGTTCAATAAACACAGTCTGAGTGCTCACAGCTAGGGATGGGTACCGGTATCCGATGCCATAATGGCAGCGCACATTTCGGTGCTTTATTTCAGTTCTTTTTTTTTCCTGAGATGTCATACACTTCAGATTCTAGCTAATCATTTTACGTTTCCAAGGATAGTAGGCAGGCCCAGGTGCGTATGTTCTTTTAGAGTAGAGCTACAGATTAAAAATGCCCAAAAGCCCTGCGGTCAAAAGTCTGGCTGTACTTCACAGCTGCATGTACTTCACAGATGCAAACTCAGCAGCCTGCAACAAGTGCTTTAATGTGATACTGTGCGAAGGAGGTAACACCTCGAATCTTATAAAACACCTGGTGACACATAGCGGGTATAATTTAAAGCCGAGAAATGCACCATACCTACTACAGGTGTGGTGCCTTTTGTCGGACCCGGAGTTAGCAACATCCCCCAAGAACCCGAAGAGTAGAGTCCTGGCCCCTAGCCCTGCCAGTGTAGCAGAAATGATGATGGATGATGATGGCAGCAGCAGCTTTTCTTCTCTGCGTGAGTAGCTTCATGTTGTTCGTGTGTAATTTACGTTGAGTAGGCTAACCACGTTATTACATTAATGCACGCTACAGTTAAACTATTTACTAGTTAACACCCTTGTTTTCTTAACTAATATTTACTTAGTTGCATCCGGGTATGTCAATGTGTAATTCAATATTTAGTTTCTTTTTATTATAATAACAAATTCCTAACTTGCAGTTGGCGGATGATGTGAACACTCCTAAAAAGGTACTCATAAACGCTACGTGTCCCAGATACTGGCTGTGCAGCTTTGCTGGATTGTTCTAACAAGGTAACGCTTAACTTATTTGTTCGTATCACAGCATAAACAGAAGAAATCATTTTCTACTATAATGTGTGTACAATAGTAGAAGATGTTGTGTATAATAGTAGAAGATGTTGTGTATAAATGCAATAATTTTAGTACGTGAATTTAAAAATATAGTTGAAACTGCATTCTGTGTGTCATAAAACTGAACATTGAATCATATTCCTTAATAATATTTACATTTAAAACTATTAATCTAATTTTACTTAAAAATTCTCAAAACTGTGACTGTTGTAAATTAGCTATGTGATTATTAGCAAATGTGGTTTATTTTTAGTTTGTGTCAGGATTTAGTGTTCATCAGAAACAGCAGCTACATTATTTATATGTTGCTTCCCTTTGGTAATATCTGTAGAACAGTAAAACAGTACAGTAAAAAAAAAATCATATTATCGGTCTGATAAAACAATTATTTTAGATTATAAGATTAGTTTAAAACAGGCATGGGTTAAAAACATGAAACTGACTATGGATGCCCTAACTTCGGCTTCCAGTGAGAAATACGTAGAGCTGACTTCTTTCGTATACACATTACTGCTAAAATAAAAAACTTTGTGTCTTGGAGTGATGTTGAAAAACAAGTTGATACATCTGTTAAAAGCATGAAATTGTTTTTGGAAAACCTACCTGAAGTGCTTTCAAGTTCATCCAAAATACCACAATGAGAGTACTAACAGCAACCTATACATTTTTGCCAGTGTAAGTTTTCAGTCAGCTAAGCCACAGAAATCTAAGGAGCTTGGAAAGAAAAACGACTCGACTTGTTTGAGTTTCTTGAGTTTTTTCTCGGCTCAAACAAATCCAGTCGCTTTTCTTTCCAAGCGCCTTAGATTATTCCTTTTCCTTCACATTTTTATAGTTTTTGTTTTTTATGGTTCATATTTTAGTATGGTTACATGTAATCTTTCAATTATTACTTTTTAAAAAATATTTGTGACGTCTGATAAAGCAAATATTTTCATTTTTGCATTGTGTTTTTGTCTTGCATGCACATAATATTTCTTAGCCAAGCAGTAGAAATACACAGGTTACCTGTTTTATCTGCTCAGCTCTTCACTAACATCATGCTCTCTGGACTCAGCAGGATGTTCTGTGAGTACAACAGACTGATTATTTAAATATAAGAGTTTTTCATAAAGTCAGAGGGAAAGATTAAGTGTCACTCTTCTTAAGCTTTTTATCTTTAAGAGGTACTTGAGATGAGGTGCTTTCTAATCTTCCTTTATAAAAGTAAATAATTAATGGGTTATTAATTATTTACAAGTTACTTGTAACAACTTTTAGGTTGGATTTTAAATCATTAAAACTCAATAATAATATTTTTTTCTTATCTGATTTTCAGTTCTGGGAGTAACATGTTTACTCATGAGTTCAGGTAAATACACGTTTCAGTCACTTTTATCCCAATGTGCCAGTTTTTAACTTTATATTGCCACCTTGATCCGATCGAACAGATTTGCTGAACTTATGCTTTCACTCTGATTACATGGGACCTTTTATTTACATCCTGTCTGTTAATTTTAAACCATGTAAGAAACTCTGAGTTTAAACACAAGCGTCAAGCTGTTACGTGACATTGCGCAGGAAGAAGCCTGTGTTAACTGTGACTATCACCAATAAACGTGGGCGTGTTTCCTGAATCAACAGCAGGCCTTACCTCCTTTGTCGCTGGATTCTGGATTCTGATACCAAGTACTAATACTGATAACGATTTGCAGCTGATGGATCCTGTCCTGATTTAATGTTTGTTAATTACAACCAAATGATGTGATTGGGTGTCAACTTGTATTCTGTGAAATGTGCCATACAAATAACTGACAGTAAATGACAGTTAACAGAAGATGGTTATTATGCTCATGTCATGTTACGCTGTGTGGCAGGCAGGATGTAGGACCCAAATGCAGGACTCGCAGACACGAAAGGATGAACTGAAAACGGCAGATGTATTGCAGTGTTGCAAAAACATACTAGAAACCAAAAGCGCTTTTCTACTGTAAAGCACTTTGGGTTTTCAGTTACTATATATAATATTTATTTATTATTGTGTAAATAGGTGGATTGTTTATTTGGATATTTATTTGCTTAAAAAAGGCAGGAACTACTAAACTATTAAATTGTGACTATAAAATTAGCAATACAGCACTTATTAATACAGCAAAGACTCATTATTTTAAATTTCAGGCTATACCAGAGCTGAGACCACCGTGTCCCCACAAAGAAAGCCCGCCTGTGACAGCCAGATCTGCCGCTTGAGCCACGGTAAGAAAAGCATACTCTGTATATGAAAGATGTACAGACCTCCTGGGTTAGAAAAGTGGAGCTAATATGGAAGTGCTTTAAGCCAGCAAAAGAAGTCCATGTTGCTTGAGGAGGAGTCTAAGCAGAGCTGCTCAGACGTTGGGTCCAAATTTGTGCTCGTAAGTTCAAACACACACACAGCCTGGGAAGTTGAGTGCAAATTTTTACAAACACAAATCTTTTTTACACACACACAAATTCTCATCTATAGATACACAAACATAAAAATTTTCACATATTTTGTTTCACAAGGTTACAAAACCCAGTTCACAAGTACACATTTGATTTACAAGTACAAAATATTACTGACCACAATTTGAGCCCATACCAGCAGTTCACACAACTGCAGACACTGCATTAATCCCTGTGTCAACTACTTCTTCGCTTTTCCCTCACTTGGAAACAAGACCCAGAGTTACTTAAACTCCTCCTACTGGGGGTCACCTGTCCCATTGAACCAATCAGTCAAAAAGGCAACGCCCATAATAATGGAAACTTTATGCTTTCATTAAGCGTTTAAACTGGTCTGTTAAAAAAAAATTAACCTCACACATATAATTGTTTTAAAAAATTGTTATTTAAAAAAAACAGTAATAGAGACCAAAACAGTTTTACTTCTGCTGCCATGTAAAGGTGAACCTTTTATTATGGCAGTGACTCACTGCGGGAGACTCCGGTGGATGTTCAAGGAACTGCAGGTTTTAGGATTTTAGCACTGGCTTCAACTTTTAAGGTTAAACTTTCTTTTTTTGTTTTGTTTTGTTTTGTTTTGTTTTGTTTTGTTTTGTTTTGTTTTGTTTTGTTTTGTTTTGTTTTGTTTTGTTTTGTTTTGTTCTGTTCATCACCTCTGTCCAAATAACGAAAAATAATAAATTTAATGTACTAATAAATACTGATTCGATATCAAAGACAGATGTTAGTCTGTGCCATTGAGCTCCACTGTTAGCACTGAACTCTTAAAATCACATTTTTAAGTGTTATGTCACTTCTTTTTTTGTCAGAGAAATTCAAAAAATTGCTGAAAATTAAAAATTTATGTCTCTTCTTTTAGTCCAGAGTGTAACATGCGAAGGATCTCAGGCAAACCTGCAGTGTGGTGAGGGTTATGTTTTGTTGGTTTGTCTTTTTATTTTTGAATTAATTTGTTTGAAATGCAAACATGGTTATAGTTTAATGTCTTCCTCAGGTGAAGGGCAGGTTTTAGTTATCCACGGAGCTGATTATGGACGCCGTGACAAAACCACATGCTCTGCTGGACGTCCGGCCTCTCAGCTCCAAGATGTCCAGTGCTCAAGTCAGACGAGCACCAGTGTTGTAGCTGAAAGGTACAGATTGGCTGCCTTTGTTTAGTTTTACTTTTTTTCCAGATTACACAATGTGCAGTGTGTTAAACATCTGCTGACTCACTTTCTATCTGCATTCAAAGCTGTAATGGGAAAAACAGCTGTACTATCTCAGCGACCAACTCTGTGTTTGGAGACCCCTGTGTTGGCACCTACAAGTACCTGGAGGTGGATTATACTTGTCAGTGTAAGTACCTCAAACAGTAATGCACATACAACTCCAAACAAATGCTAGCAAACAATATATTCACAAGAACCATCAACTTTAATTTCATCCAGTGGAGTCAAACCTCTGTACCTTAAACAGTAACGTACACATGCTAGCGACCAAAGCACCATTCTTTTTGATTTCACTTAGTGCATAAATACACATTTCGATTTAATTTTTGGATTTCAAGATTGTGCTCCAGAATCAAACTCAACTTTATTCCACTTTTAAAAGCTAAAAGGTGAACAATCAAAAACACAAAAACACAAAATCAAATCCGAACCAAGAAGGAAAACGTTGCAAAACTTACAAATTGAATCTGTGATCATGAAATAATATTTAGTGTGAGAATAAAGAAATTATTTTACTGCTACAATGTAGCCTTCATCATTAATATTGCATTAAAATGTTTATTAAAGCTACTGGCATCATATTAACCTTTTTATTACAGGTGCAGCTATAATCATTGTATACACACATTTTATGTTGCGCTCATTAAAAGAGTTGATGTTCGGTTTATTTAAGGTCTTAAGCTTCGGTGGGTGCGATGTCCCAGCCGATCTATTATGTAAGTGACTTGGACCAATGGAAGGTTAAAACAGCATTCACGCTTACAGACATATATGATTTAAACATAGGCCAGGCCGAAGGCCAGGAATTCATTTAGCTTCTAACTGCATTTGAGCTTGCCTAGTGACAAGTGACAGAAGAAGAGTCAAGAAAGTGTAAATCCCCCGGGGAGTATTCGGAGAATGAGTTTAATTACCATGTATGGAAGAATGATAAAAAGGGAAATGTCTCTGTCTATTTTAGCTATTTTTCTCCACATTAATTTTTAAAGTTTGTGATTTAATGAATGTGATTTACGCTTTTCTCTCAGTCCAGACTGTAACATGTGAAGAATCTGAGGCAAACCTTCAGTGTGGTGAGGTTTTCTTTTTTGTAACTTATTGAAAACATTTCATTGAAATGCAAACTTGTTTATAGTTTAACGCTGTGATCTCGTCCTCAGGGAAAGGGCAGATTTTAGTCATTCACAGATCTGATTATGGACGCCATGACCAAACCACGTGCTCTAACTTACAACCTCACTGTAGGCTCAGAGATGTCCAGTGCTCAAGTCCAGAGAGCATTGAAGTAATAGCTGCAAGGTACAGATGGTTACTGTCTTTTTTCAACTTTTAATTTTCTCCCAGATATGCAGTATGTCAAACTTCTGCTGACTCACTTTTTATCTCCATTCAAAGCTGTAATGGGAAAAACAGCTGTAATATCTCAGCGAGCAACTCTGTTTTTGGAAACCCCTGTTTTGGCACCTCCAAGTACCTGGAGGTGGATTATACTTGTCAGTGTAAGTACCTTATTACAGAGGAAAACAAGTATAAAAAATCATAGTACGTTTTTATTTTATTCAAAGACAGATTGTAGGATGCAGAAACGATGAAACAGGAGGAAAAGGATGCAAAAGAGTTCAAGTTACGAATTAAATCATGAACTAATAATCAGTCTGCACATGAATTATTACACTTTCTAATGTGTTTTGTGTTTTTCTCTCAGTCCAGAGTGTAACATGTGAAGGATCTGAGGCAAACCTTCAGTGTGGTGAGGTTTTCTTTTTTGTAACTTTGTTGAATTTCATTTATTGAAATGTAAACATGGTTATTGTTTATGATCTCTTCCTCAGAAAAAGGACAGGTTTTAGTTATCCACGGAGCTGATTATGGACGCCATGACAAAACCACATGCTCTGCTGGACGTCCGGCTTCTCAGCTCCAAGTTGTCCAGTGCTCAAGTCAGACGAGCACCAGTGTTGTAGCTGAAAGGTACAGATTGACTGTCTTTGTTTAGTTTTATGTTTTTTCTTTTACCAGGCTACACAACGTGCAGTGTGTTAAACCCTTTGCTGACTCACTTTCTATCTGCATTCAAAGCTGTAATGGGAAAAACAGCTGTACTATCTCGTCGAGCAACTCTGTATTTGGAGACCCCTGTTTTGGCACCTACAAGTACCTGGAGGTGGTTTATACTTGTCAGTGTAAGTACCTTAAACCAGGGGTGTCCAGCTCCAAACCTCAAGGGCCGGTGTCC